CAGGACTCATACTTTGTGTATCAAGTTATAAACAAGGTTTCTGGATGTTTATACTTAAGTGTTACATTATAACACATTTACGGCAGTTAAATTAAACTAACGTTGTCTCACTCTGGAGAAAAGGGACCGTGGAAGTGCGGTAGAATTCACAATGTCGTGGACTGAGGGACGGGGCGATCAAACTTTTCCCCTTAGGAAACATATCATCCATATTAGACATATTTCTCGCGATGAGGGAAATCACACCATCGAGAGGTAATTGCTTTAAGTAACCAGTCTCTTGGATCAGGACATAATTTAACATCACGTAAATTCTTTGTTTGAATCGTTGATAAAGTGTGGCATAACTTAACATCATGTAAATTCTTTGTTTAAATCGTTAATCAAATGTGGCAATTTTATCGTCAGTAATTTAAGAATTCTTTGCTGTTTCAAATTTCACGAGAATGTATGGCGAATTTAAATATTGTTTATTGTTCTTTCTGAAACTTTAACACTTGTTCGGTTGTAGTTTAATGTCAGGGTTATAGAAATTGAACATTTAAATGGAATTGAGGCTAAATAACACAGAAACACGTAGCGGAAGCGGAGTGCGCGGTTCCTCGTCGAGCTGGCGGCCGCGGTGGAAGAACAGCCACGACCAGGAGCCCCAAACTTGAAATTGAGATAGTTCGATCGCCACTCTTACTGGTGCCGCTGTCGCTGCGTAGTTTTTTATTAAAATTTAAGTTACTTTAATTCAGATTTTTCTTTGTTTCATTAAATTTTTAAGATATTGCTACCTAAGGAATGGGAACCTGAGGGTATACAGACAGTCAAACCCCCCACTACTCCAAACACTTTATTAAATTAATATCTAAACTTCTTAAACAGTGGGTGCTTGTGCTGCGCCCCCGCATTCTTCTTATACTCGTAATACACCGCATCGTCCGCCCCCGACATCGAACCCATTTGTCCCGTCTTCCTATTCCCGGACCCTCCGGCCCTCGGACCTCCTTCCCCTGGGATCTTCTCGTCTTCACAGTCAATATCACTAGCCGCCAACACCTGCTGTAACAACTGCCCCTGCTCCTCCCTCGTCTTGTACATCAAATCCGGCTCTTCGTCCATCCCCGCCAGTTTTGTAACCACCTTATAACTGTACCCTTGGTTCACCAAAAACCTCTGCCTCTTCCTCGAGTAGTTCATCTCCATGGTATCCTGAGACACTAGCGTGTAAAAGAACGCGTTATACTCCTCAGCGATGGCGCCTTTCTTCGCCCGAAGAATCCTCCCCAGACGTTGAGCTTCCTGCCTCCTGGACCCCCCATGGGACGAGATTTGTATCAAAACGTTAGCTTCGGGCAAATCGAACGACGTATCAGCCACCTTACTCACAAAAATCGTGTTCACTTTCGGGTTGAACTTGAAGTTCTGAAGGATTTGGATTCGTTCGCCTTGGGAGGTCGGTCCGTAAATGTAGGGTTTGTTCATTTTGATAGCGTAGTGCTTCAAGGCGAAGACGTTATCGGAGAAAACTATGGTCTTGTCGCCGCGTCTCTCATGGTACCGAATTAGGTACTGAGTCGCTCTGAATTTGTTCGGGTTCATTACGTAGAGTAGCAGCCGCTTTGAAGTCTTGCACTTTTTCGATTTTTCAGTTTTTCAATTTTTTCCAAGTTCTTGATTTAGAATTTTTAGATTGTCCAAATTTTCACTTTGTTTTTATCGTTTTCATTTTTGAATTTTCAATTTTACAATTTTAAAGTTTTTCCTTCTCATGATTCGAAAAATTGAAAAATCGAAGAATTAAAAATCGAAAAACTAAAAATCGGAAAAAACTAAAAAATCGAAAAACTGAAAAACGAGAAATTTCAGTTCCTACAATTTTTAAATTTTTCAATTTTGCAATTTTTGAATTTCCCAATTAGCCGATTTTTCGATTTATTTAATTTTTGACTTTACAGTATTTCGTTTTCTCGATTTTGCACTTTTACGAACTTTCAATTTCTCATTTCTTCTATTTTTTCAAGTTCTTGATTTAGAATTGTTAGTTTTTTCAAAATTTTAATTTTGTCCTTTTTTGTTTTTTCGTTGTCGATTTTTCAATTTTACAGTTTTAGAATTTTTGCTTTTTTGATTCGAAAAGTTGGAAAATCGAAAAACTAGAAATCGGAAAAAGTCGAAAAATCGCAAAACTGAAAAAGCGAAAAATTTCAATTCCTTCAATTTTTAAATTTTGCAATTTTTGATTTTCTCAATAATTAGCCGATTTTCCGATTTATTTAATTTTTGATATTTATTAGATTTTACAATATTTCGTTCATTCGATTTGTGTTTCGATTTTTCAATTTTTTCCAAGTTCTTGATTTAGAATTTTTAGACTGTCCAAATTTTCACTTTGTATTCCTTCGTTTTCATTTTTGAATTTTCAATTTTACAATTTTAAAGTTTTTCCTTCTTATGATTCGAAAAATTGAAAAATCGAAGAATTAATAATCGAAAAACTAAAAATCAGAAAAAATTAAAAAATCGAAAAATAGAAAAACGAGAAATTTCAGTTCCGACAATTTTTAAATTTTTCAATTTTGCAATTTTTGGATTTCTCAATTAGCCGACTTTCAGATTTATTTAATTTTTGACTTTAAAGTATTTCGTTTTCTCGATTTTGCACTTTTACGAACTCTCAATTTCTCATTTCTTCTATTTTTTCAAGTTCTTGATTTAGAATTTTTAGATTTTTCAACATTTTTATTTTGTCCTTTTTTGTTTTTTCGTTGTCGATTTTTCAATGTTACTGTTTTAGAATTTTTGCTTTTTTGATTTGAATAGTTGAAAAATAGAAAAACTAGAAATCGGAAAAAAGTCGAAAAATCGCAAAACTGAAAAAACGGAAAATTTCAATTACTTCAATTTTTAAATTTTTCAATTTTTCAATTTTTGGTTTTATCAATAATTAGCCGATTTTCCGATTTATTTAATTTTTGATATTTAGATTTTACAATATTTCGTTCATTCGATTTTGCACTTTTTCGATTTTTCAATTTTTTCCAAGTTCTTGGTTTTGAATTTTTAGATTGTCCAAATTTTCTGTTTGTATTTCTTCGTTTTCATTTTTGAATTTTTAATTTTACAATTTTAAAGTTTTTCCTTCTTATGATTCGAAAAATTGAAAAATCGAAGAATTAAAAATAGAAAATCTAAAAATCGGAAACAAAAAGTCGAAAAACCGAAAATCGAGAAATTTCAGGTCCTACAATTTTTAAATTTTTCAATTTTGCAATTTTTGGATTTCTCAATTAGCCGATTTTCCGATTTATTTAATTTTTTATATTTAGACTTTACAATATTTCGTTTTTTCAATATTTTATTTCTTCAATTTTTCCAAGTTCTTGATTTAGAATTTTTAGATCGTCCAAATTTTCACTTTGTTTTCTTCGTTTTAATTTCTGAATTTTCAATTTTACAATTTTAAAGTTTTCCCTTATGATTCGAAAAATTGAAAAATCGAAAAAATTTTTAGATTTTCACAATTTTTCACTTTGTACTTTTTCGTTTTCATTTTTGATTTTTTCTCCATTTTTAAAATTTTCAATTTCTCATTTCTTCAATTTTTTTACGTTCATGATTTAGAATTTTCAGATTTGTCAAAATCTTCATTTTGTATTTTTTGTCTGATCCGAAAAGTTGAAAAGTAGAAAAACTGAATAATCGAAAAATTCAAAATTGAAAAACTAAAAAATCGGAAAAAATTGAAAAACCACAAAACTGAAAAGCGCAAAAGTGCAAAATCGAAAAAGTGGAAAATCTAAAAATTGCAAATCGATGAACTGAAGAAACAAGACATCGAAACATTAAAAACTAAAAATGAGAAACTCAAAAATTGAAAAAAATTAATGAATCGAAAAATTGGAAAGAAGAAAAAACGAATCGAATCGAAAAATTGGAAAACCTAAAAATTGCAAAAAAAGAAAAATTGTAGAACCGCCAAAATTGTAAAGTCGAAAAAGTGTAATAATGAAAGATCGAAAAATTGAACGACGCCAACACGTGGTGTAATGTTGATTTATTGTTTGTCAGTTCACAGTTCATGTTAGGATTTTAATCGTTACTGGTTCTAACACAATTTAACAGTCATGAAATTGTTCAGATAAAGCACTTGCTAGGAGATTTTATGAGATTCATTTAGTCAGGACTCATACTTTGTTTATCAAGTTATAAATAAGGTTTCTGGATGCTTATATTTAAGTGTTACATTATAACACATTGACGGTAGTTAAATTAACCTAAAGTTGTCTCACTCTGGGGAAAAGGGACAGTGGAAAGTGCGGTTGAATTCATAATATCGTGGACTGAGGGACGGGGCGATCAAACTTTTCCTCTTATTAGGAAACATATTATCCATATTAGACATATTTCTCGCGATGAGGGAAATCACACCATCGAGAGGTAATTGCTTTAAGTAACCAGTCTCTTGGATCAGGACATAATTTAACATCACGTAAATTCTTTGTTTGAATCGTTGATAAAGTGTGGCATAACTTAACATCATGTAAATTCTTTGTTTAAATCGTTAATCAAATGTGGCAATTTTATCGTCAGTAATTTAAGAATTCTTTGCTGTTTCAAATTTCACGAGAATGTATGGCGAATTTAAATGTTGTTTATTGTTCTTTCTGAAACTTTCACACTTGTTCGGTTGTAGTTTAACGTCAGGGTTATAGAAATTGAACATTTAAATGGAATTGAGGCTAAATAACACAGAAACACGTAGCGGAAGCGGAGTGCGCGGTTCCTTGTCGAGTTGGCGGCAGCGGTGGGAGAACAGCCACGACCAGGAGCCCCAAACTTGAAATTGAGATAGTTCGATCGCCACTCTTACTGGTGCCGCTGTCGCTGCGTAGTTTTTTATTAAAATTTAAGTTACTTTAATTCAGATTTTTCTTTGTTTCATTAAATTTTTAAGATATTGCTACCTCAGGAATGGGAACCTGGGGTATACAGATAGTCAAACTCCCCACTACTCCAAACACTTTATTAAATTAATATCTAAACTTCTTAAACAGTGGGTGCTTGTGCTGCGCCCCCGCATTCTTCTTATACTCGTAATACACCGCATCGTCCGCCCCCGACATCGAACCCATTTGTCCCGTCTTCCTATTCCCGGACCCTCCAGCCCTCGGACCTCCTTCCCCTGGGATCTTCTCGTCTTCACAGTCAATATCACTAGCCGCCAACACCTGCTGCAACAACTGCCCCTGCTCCTCCCTCGTCTTGTACATCAAATCCGGCTCTTCGTCCATCCCCGCCAGTTTCGTAACCACCTTATAACTGTACCCTTGGTTCACCAGAAACCTCTGCCTCTTCCGCGAGTAGTTCATCTCCATGGTATCCTGAGACACCAGCGTGTAAAAGAACGCGTTATACTCCTCCGCGATGGCGCCTTTCTTCGCCCGAAGAATCCTCCCCAGACGTTGAGCTTCCTGCCTCCTGGACCCCCCATGGGACGAGATTTGTATCAAAACGTTGGCTTCGGGCAAATCGAACGACGTATCAGCCACCTTACTCACAAAAATCGTGTTCACCTTAGGGTTGAACTTGAAGTTTTGAAGGATTTGGATTCGTTCGCCTTGGGAGGTCGGTCCGTAAATGTAGGGTTTGTTCATTTTGATAGCGTAGTGCTTCAAGGCGAAGACGTTATCGGAGAAAACTATGGTCTTGTCGCCGCGTCTCTCATGGTACCGAATTAGGTACTGAGTCGCTCTGAACTTGTTCGGGTTCATTACGTAGAGTAGCAGCCGCTTTGAAGTTTTGCAACCGAGGTACTCTCGGTAGAACTCGGGCGTCATCGGGCACCATACCTCTGCGCACTGCACCCGCGCAATGAACCCTCTTTTCTGCAGTTCCAGCCAGTTCGCTTCATACAATTTCGGCCCGATTAAGAAATTCAAGTCGGCGATTTTATCGTCTTCTCGGAGCAACGTCGCCGTCAACCCCAGCTTGCAGTGCGACTGCACGATGGTCAACACCCGTCGGAACATCTTCGCCGGGATAGTGTGCACTTCGTCCAGGACCATGATCCCCCATTCCTGCTCCTGGAGCCACTTCATGGTCTGCTCGGCCTCCCACGACCTGCGCTGGGTATGCGTGATCATCGAGTACGTCGTCACCAAAATACTACACCCCATGGGCTTATCCTTGGCCTCCGAAGTAAATCTACAAATCATACTATCGTCGGCTGTTGACCACATCTTAAACTGTTGCTTCCACTGCTCGACCGAAACCCCCGAGTTGCACAGGACCAGCGCCCGCTTACGGACGGTGCAGCAGGCGGTAACTCCCACGAGGGATTTCCCCGCGCCGCAAGGTAGTACGATGACGCCCGAGCGGGCGCGGCCGTTGCCGAACATCTTGCGCAGGCTCTTCTCCTGGTAGGGACGCAACACGGCGGCCGGACGCAGGTCGACGTTGATGTCGGGGTTGATGGTGTCGTTGCGGAAGTCGTACTCGGCGAGGAGGGGGTGCTCGAGCTCGATGCAGCGTTTCTGGATCACTTCGATTTTCTCTTGGTTTACTTCGAAGGAGACGGTCTGGAGCGAGGATTCCTCCTCGTCTTCCTCTTCGTTGTCCATTTTGTCGTAGAAGTTGGTGATGTCGTCGGGGACGGAGGCGGCGGCGGCGGCGGCAGGGTCGGGTTGGTCGCTGCCGGGTTTGCTGCCGAATGTGGGGATGTTTTTCTTTTCTTGAACCTGAAACAAAAAAAACATTTATGTTGTTTATAATGGCGTGGGAAGAAAAACAAATCCTAAAATCGGAAAAAATCGAGTCAATCCAAAAAAATATGTAAAAAAACAAAAAACCCAAAATATGCAGAAAAATCCAAGAAATTCAAAAAGCCCAAGAAACCAAATATGTAATTCTAAAACAACAGAAAATGGAAATGTATTTCAAAAATTTTTAAAAAATCAGAAAATAAAAAAACACTCACCGATAATCCAAAAAAAAAACAAAAAATCAAAGAATTGAAAGAAAAAACTCAAGAAATTCAAAAATTCCAAAAATCCAGAAAAAGGAAAATGTTCCAAAAATCTAAAAAATTAGAAAATAAAAAAATTGAATTAACCAAAAAATCGAATAAACCCCAAAAAAAAAAACAAAAAACCAAAAAATCTAAATATGTAATTCAAACAATTCTAAAAAATTCAAAAAAACCACAAAAAAAACGAAGGAATTCAAAAAAACCCAAGAAATCCAATAATTTCAAAAAATCAAAGAATCCTAAAAAATCCAAAAAACCTTTAAAATGCAAAAAAAAACCCAGGAAACTCAACAAATCCAATAAACCAAAAAAAAAATCCAAAAATCTAAAAAATTCAAGAAACGAAGGGAACTCAAAAAAACTTAAGAAATTTAATAATTACAAAAATTCAGAAAACGGAAAACATTTATTCTCGAAAATATAAAAAATCACAATAACAAAAAATTCCAAAAAATCGAATAAATCCAAAAAATCCGAAAACCTAAAAAACCGAAAAATCCAAAAGAACTCAAGAAACCCAAGAACCTCAACAAATCCAATTATCCAAAAATCGAAAATATCAAAATTTTTAAAAATCTAGAAAATGGAAAAAATCCGAAAACCTAAAAAAACGAAGCAATCCAAAAAATCCAACAAAATTGAAAAAGCAATAAAAAAATCCGAAAAATAGAAAAAAAGCCAAGAAACTCAAGGAATTCAGTAATTCAAAAAAATCGAAATTACCAAAATTTTTAAAAATCCAGAAGATGGAAAATCTTCCAAAAATCCAAGAAATAAGAAAATAAAAAAAAATTGAACTAACCAAAAAATCTAAATATGTAATTCAAACAATTCAAACAAATTTAAAAAACCAACAAAACCGAAGAAATTAAAAAAAAAAACAAGAAATCCAATGATTCCAAAAAACCAAAGAATCCCAAAAATCCAGAAAACCTTTAAAATGCAAAAAAACCCCAGGAAACTCAACAAATCCAATAAACCAAAAAAAAAAAAACAAAAATCTAAAACATTCAAGAAACGAAGGGAACTCAAAAAAACTTAAGAAATTTAATAATTACAAAAATTTACATTTATTCTCGAAAATATAAAAAATCACAATAAGAACAAAAAAATTCCAAAAAAAAACCCGAAAACCTAAAAACCCGAAAAATCTAAAAGAACTCAAGAAACCCAAGAAACTCAACAAATCCAATTATCAAAAAATCGAAAATATCAAAATTTTTAAAAATCTAGAAAATGGAAAATGTAACAAAAAAAATCCAAAAAAGGAAAAAAAAACGAAGCAATCCAAAAAACTCAAGGAACTCAAAAAATCCATCCAAAAATCGAATGTATACAAAAAATCCAACAAAATTGAAAAAGCAATAAAAAAAATCCAAAAAATAGAAAAAAAAGCCATTCAAACAATTCAAAAAACCAACAAAACCGAAGAAATTAAAAAAAACAAGAAATCCTATGATTTCAAAAAATCAAAAAATCCCAAAAATCCAGAAAACCTAAGAAATGCAAAAACCCAGGAAACTCAAGAATTCCAATAAACAAAAAAAAAATCCAAAAATCTAAAAAATTCGAAAACCCAAAAAACCGAAGAAATTCAAAAAACTTAAACTCAAAAAATCCAAAAATCAAATGTATGCAAAAAATCCAAAAAAATAAAAATACAAAAAATCTAAAAAATGCAAGAAACCCAAGAAACTCAAGAAATCCAATAATCCAAAAAATCAAAGTATTCAAAAAATCCAAAAATCTAAAAATTCAAGAAATCCAAAAACTCAAGAAAAACAGTTCCCAAAATCCAAAAAATCGAAAAAAATCCAATGATTTCAAAAAGCCAAAAAATCTAAAAGATTCCAAAAAACCTAAGAAATGCAAGAAACCCAAGAACCTCAACAAACTCGATAAACCAAAAAAAAAATCCAAAAATCTAAAAAATTCGAAAACCCAAAAAACCGAAGAAATTCAAAAAACTTAAACTCAAAAAATCCAAAAATCAAATGTATGCAAAAAATCCAAAAAAATAAAAATACAAAAAATCTAAAAAATGCAAGAAACCCAAGAAACTCAACAAATCCAGGAATCCAAAAAATCGAAAAAAAAATTAAAATCCAAACAATCAAAGAATTTAAAAAATCCAAAAAACAAAAAACCCAAGAAATCCAATAATTTCAAAAATATAACATCCGAAAAATCCAAAAACCCAAGAAATTCAAGAAATGCAATAATTAATCCAAAAATGGAAAATATTTCGAAAATATAAAAATCAAAATAAGAGCAAAAAAAAATCTAAAAAATGGAAAAAATCGAATAAATGCGAAAACCCGAAAAACCGAAGAAATCCAAAAACCTCAAGAAACAAAAAATCCAAAAAAATCTAAGAAATGCAAGAAACCCAAGAAACTCACCATTTCCAGTAATCCAAAAAATCGAAAAAATCAAATTTTATAAAAATCCAAAAAATCAAAGAATTTAAGAATTCCAAAAAATAAAAAACCCAAGAAACTTAAGAAATGCAATAATCCAAAAAATCCAAAAAAATCAAAGAACTGAAAAAAATCCAAAAATCTAAAAAATTCAAGAAACCCCAGAAACCCATAACACTCCAGAAATTTAACAAATCTAAAAATCCAAAAAATGGACAATGTTCCAAAAATCCAAAAAATAAGAAAATAAAAAAAATTAATTAACCAAACAATGTTATAAGCTCAAAAATAAAGAAAAACCAAAAAATCTAAACAATTCAAAAAAATTCTAAAAACTCAAAAAACCGAAGAAATTCAAAAAACTCAAGAAATGCAAGAAGCCCAGGAAACTGACGAAATCAAATCAACCAAAAAAAAAATTTCAAAAATTCAAGAAAGTGAGGGAACTTAAAAAATTTTAGACATTCAATAATTCCAAAAATTCAGAAAACGGAAAATATTTCAAAAATAAAAAAAAAGAACAAAAAAGATCCAAAAAATGGAAAAAATCGCATACATCCAAAAATACAAAAAAATCAGAAAACGGAAAATATTTATTCTCGAAAATAGAAAAAATCAAAATAAGAAAAAAAAATCCAAAAAATGGAAAAAATCGAATAAATCCAAAAAATCCGAAAACCTAAAAACCCGAAGAAATCCAAAAAAAAAACTCAAGAAACTTAAAAAAATCAAAAAAATCGAATGTAAAAAAATAACAATAAAAAAAAAATTCAGAAAAATACAAAAAAATTCTAAGAAATGCAAGAAACCTAAGAAACTCAACAAATCCAAAAAATTGAAAATTGAAAATTTTTGAAAATACAGAAAATGGAAAATGTTCCAAAAGTCCGAAAAATAAGAAAATAAACAAATTGAATTAATCAAAAAAAACGAATAAACCCAAAAATAAAGAAAAACAAAAAATCTAAATATATAATCAAACAATTCAAAGAACCCAAAAAACGAAGAAATTAAAAAAAACACAAGAAATCCCATAATTTCAAAAAAACCAAAGAATCCCAAAAATCCAAAAAACCTAAGAAATGCAAAAAACTCAGGAAACTCAAAAAAATCCGAAAAGCTAAAAAATTCAAGAAATCAAGGGAACTCAAAAAATTTAAGAAATTCAACAGTTCCAAAAATCTAGAATATGGAAAATGTTGCAAACATCCGAAAAATAAGAAAATAAAAAAATAGAATTAACCAAAAAATCGAATAAACCCAAAAATAAAAAACCAAAAAATCTAAATAATTCAAACAATTAAAGAAATAAAAAAAAACAAAGAAATAATAATAACAAAAAACCAAAAAATCCGAAAAATCCCAAAACCCAAGAAACTTAAAAAATCCAAAAAAAATCTAAAAACTCAAAAAAACGAAGAAATTCAAAAAACCTAACAAATGTAAGAAGCCCAGGAAACTTACCCAATCAAATCAACAAAAAAAAAAAATCCAAAAATTTAAAAAATTCAAGATAGCGAGGGAACTTAAAAAATTTAAGAAAGTCAAAAAACTCAAGGAATCCAATAATTTCAGAAATCCACAAAAAAGAAAATATTCCAAAAATATATCTAAAAAAATCGGAAAATAAAAAAAAACAAAAAGAAAATTTAAAAAAATCAAAAAAACTCAAGAAATTCAAAACCAATAAATCTCAAATATATAAAATTCCACAAAATTGAAAAAATAATAAAAAAAAATCCAAGAAACCCAGAAAATAAATCCTATTTAAAGTGCATACTGTGGATCTACTACTTACTGGATAAGACATAAAATTTTGTACATTAGAGTTTAATAATTTTCTAAAAAATAAACTTTTAAATAAAACCCACCTGCGTGATGAACTCATTCCCATCCTCATTCTCCACATTCCTCCTCAACCGACACTCCTGTATCACCGGATCCTTCAACAACTTCTGCAAAATCTCCGGAAACGGACTCTCCACGAAATACTTATTGTGCTTCAAAACCAGCTTCACCTTCCCGTACGACAACGTACACAACTTAATAAACTCCACAATCCCGTCCGGGATACTGCACTTACTCAACCTATTCAAGTACTCGATAATATCGTTCGTCTGCAGCCCCACACTCACAGCGGCGTACAGCGAATACGCCGTCAGCTTATACTCATGAATGTGTTCCGGCCGGCACACCGGCTCGGAAATAGCGATGAGAAAATCGTGAGCGTGCTTGTACACCGGCGAGAACGACTCCAGAAAAATGTGCCCATTGGGGGCCACCCAGAGCGGTCTCGACGTGTTATCGGCCTTGAGGGTCATCTGCGAGCGGTAGTCTTTAGCCCCGAACTCGTCCTCTAGTATGTTCTGGTCGTTCTTTTCGGCGTCTCGGGCCGCGGCCCCCGGGACAGCCGCCCCCTCGCCCTCGTTGGTGTCGTCCTCTTCGTACGTCCATTCTTCCTCTTCTTTCCTGCGCTTTTTGGATTTGCCTTCGTTTTTGCCGCCGGAGCGCTTCGGCGGACCCATTTCACGTTCGATTACACCACATAACACAACACAGTAACACAACTTTTAGGTTAGGTTAGTTGAAAATTGTAGAGTGACAGTTACGCAGGACTGGCAACTGTTTGAAAGACACTAAAGAAAGCGCGCGGAAGGGGGCTACTTTTGTACTAATTACGATAAAAGCGCCACCAAAGTTGTAACCAATATAATCGAATATGAGGTTTACTTAAATACTTACACTTTTACGAAAATGGGCATTTTGTTTTACATTTAATTGCACTAAACTGGGGTTGGTGGTAACCTGTCAAACACAGCTGCATGCCAACCCGACGACACTAAAATTTCTGTTGTGGTAAATACACACGTGAGTAATTGTGAGGTTATGTGTAACTCTTATAAATAGTAGTTTTTTCGGCTAGAAAATGGGTGATTTAAAGAATCCGAAAATGCACAATGTGCGTTTTTACAAACCAAAGCCCAAGGCAGTGTACTGTATGGCGATCCAGCCGCACAACAAAAAATTGGCTCTTTCAAGGTAATCTAACCTCACTTTTGTATTGTTTTTAACTAGTTTATATGCAGAGCCGACGCTAGCTTAGAAATTTGGAACTTAACCCACACACCCTTCATCGAACGTACAATAGCCAGTTCCACCGAAAACTTCAGTATAGAGGGGTTAGCGTGGTGCGATTCACGTCTTTTCAGCGTAGGGCTGCACGGTCTCTTGATAGAGTACGACTTATACAAACTGGAAGTGAAAAGTAGGGCCGTGGTGACAGGCGAGGCCGCGTTTTGTCTCGATATAAACAAAGACAAATCGCGGATAGCCATTGGAACGGAACAGGGTTATTTGAACATTTTCCAAATCCAGGAAGAGGAGGTTTTTTTTGAGAAGTTCTTGGACAAGCAAGAGGGGCGCATTTTGTGTTTGAAATTCGACCATTCTGGGGAGTATATAGTGTCCGGGAGTTTGGACGCGTTACGGATTTGGAGCGTCCGCACTAGTACGTTTTTTCTCATTTTTAGTAATAATTACTTAAGTAAAATTTTGTAGATCAAGCCCTTTATAAAATGATTACGGGCCGTGCTGAACACAACAAGCCCACGATCGTGTGGTGCCTCACCATCACCCAAGACTTCTCTATAATTAGTGGAGACTCCAGGGGTGTTCTCACCGTGTGGGACGGCAAAGTGGGGGCTCAGCTTGAAAGCTACCAGTCGCACAGAGCTGACATCCTCGCGCTGTGTCTATCAGAAGACGAGGAGTCCCTCTACTGCGCCGGGGTGGACCCCAACATTGTCAATTACGTCCGGGTTAAAGTCAAGGATGATTCCCAGAAATGGGTGCGCAGCGTCCAGCGTAAAATCCACGACCACGACGTGCGCGCGCTTGCCCTTGATGGTAACAAGTTATATTCCAGCGGCGTCGACGGTTACTTAGCTTGCAGTTACCCCCCTAAAACCTTGTCAAAGTTCGCGCCGATTTTGCAAGCCCCTTGCGTCACACTATGCTCCAAAGCGCGCTACGTCATGTTGCGGTACCCCAAATTCATCGAAGTGTGGACTTTGGGGGAAAGTGGGGGCGAAAAAGACAAGCGCACGGGGATGTTCACCGTAGATAAACGACCCCAGAAATTAGTTTTAGTGCAAAAGGTGGTTAAAGTAGACGACAATGACAGAAAAGAGGGGATTCTATGTGCGACGATGTCCGACGATGGGGGTTTAATTTTGTACAGTACTAGATTAGGTGTTAGATTATTAAAACTAGTTAGGGAGGAATCACTGAAGTTGGTACCCGTGGAAACTGAAGGCTGGGGGGAAGTACCGTGCGTGGGCGCCATTTTCGCCCAAAGTCGCTTAATCGTGGCGCCCAATATCGGTGGCTTGCAAGTGGTGGAAATCGCCAATGATAGAGCCGTCGTGACGCAGACCATCAACACCCAGTCAGGTAGAAGCACGTGGTTGTTTGCCATTGGTTGGTTTGTTTATTGTTGTTTGATTGGCAGACATGGAGGATACGATTGCGTTGTTGGGCGTGTCCGGCGACTCCCAGTTTTTGGTGGGGGGCGACGTCAAGGGAAATGTCGCGGTCTGGACTTTAAAGAATAATCACTACGTCAGTTATTGTAAAGTACCAAGGTACAAATCGGCGCCGACGGCTTTGGGGATTCACCCGAAGGTGCCGAATTTGGTGGTGGCCTATTCTGACGGGCACGTGATCGAGTTCGACCTGTCCCGGCGCGAGTTGACGAAATTTTCGCGGTCCTTGTCGAAGAGCCCCCCCAAGTCGCTCGCTTCGCGCGCCTCCGTCGTCCGGTCCGTCGCCTTCGACCCCCGCGCCGACCGCACCATACTGCTGCAGGACGACGACAACGTCATCGTCATCGATAAGGAGAAGGTAAGTGGAGCGGAATCCATCAATTTTACATCGAACTGCGGCGAAACAATGGACTGAAAGGTTATCATTAATTCACATAAATCTTGTAGTTCTCGATTTAATCCGGTTAGCACGTTCTCGCCGATTCCTCGGAACGGTACATCAAATTACGTGTCGACATCAATGGGATTGTCGGAATCGATTCGTTTTGAAGTGTTGCGCTGGTTGTTTTTGACGCAAGTAACGATTTCGTCTACGGCGAATTCAGGTGTCTCGGGAAGCGGCCCCGAGCGGCTCCGGGATTTGGAGCGCGGCGATTTTTCCGGGCGACAGATGGGGGGTGGTTGTCGAGGGTGAATTGTCGGGGGGTTATTGCGAGGCCAATAGGGTGGTTTCTGGGTTGGGAGTGGTTTCTGGATATAACAATAGGGAATGAAATAGAATCTGAAAGAAATTTACATTGTAGTATTGCAAAAGTTGGAGATGAGGTAAAATCATCAATTTTTCGAATTTTTAAATTTTAGATTTTTCATTTTTTGTTGCTTCAGTTTCTCAATCTTTCGTTTTTTTGTCTTCTTGTTTTTGGATTTTTTGATTTTTCAATTTTTCGGAATTAATTTTTCAGTTTTTCGATATTTCGATTTCTTACTTTTCAATTTAATGGTTTCCTTTCGATTTTTCGCCTTCTCATTCTTAGATTTTGCGGTTTTTCACTTTTTGGTTTATCGGTTTTTTTACTTAAGTTGTGAATTTTTCGACTTTTCGATCTTTTGGTGTGTCGATTTCTCGATTTCTCAATTTTTCGATTTTCAAATTTTCAATGTTTAAGTTTTGGAATTTTTCGATTTAGGGATTTTTCTATGTATTTCGAATTTTTGAATTTTAGTTTTTTCACTTTTTTGTTGTTTGGATGTCTCAAATTTTTAATTTTTTGCCTTCTCATTTTTCGATTTTTCAATTTATCGGAATTAATTTTTCAATTTTTCCATATTCCGATTTTTCAATTTTTCGATTTTTCGACTTTTCGTGTTTTTGATTTTTTACTTATTGGATTTTTCAAAATATTGCGACTCTTTAAATCTTACATTTTTCGATTTTTCAGTTTTTTGATTTGTTGATGTATTGATTGCTCGATTTTTTGAATTTGGATTTTTCAAATTTTGTTTGTTGTTTCTATTAATTTTTTGGCGTCTCATTTTTCGATTTCTCAGTTTTTCGATAATCATTTTTTTCGAATTTTCGATTTTCCAATTTTTCAACATTTCAGTTTTATATTTAAATTTTTCGGTATTTAAATTTTTGGCGTCTCTGAATTTTTGGATTTTTCGCTTTCTCAATTTCTCGGTTAACGGATTTTTTAATTTTTCAACTTTTCGTTTTTCTGATTTCTCGATTTTCAAATTTTTCAAAATTTTGCGATTTTTTCAAAATTTTGCGATTTTTTTATATCTTACACTCTTCGATTCGTGGATTTTTTGATTTCTCAATTTTGTAAATTTTTAATTTTTCGAATTTTTAAATTTTAGGTTTTTCACTTTTTTGTTGCTTCGATTTCTCAGTATTTCGATTTTTGCCTTCTTGTCTTTGGATTTTTCAATTTTTCAAAATTAATTTTTCAGTGTTTCGATTTTTCATTTTTTGGTATATTTTTCAATTTTGAATTGGCCCATTTTTCAATTTTTCGATTTTTCGACTTTTCGACTTCTCGATCCTTGGATTTTTCGATTTCGCGATTTTTGAATTTTTTTGATTTTTCAGTTTTTCGATAACTCATCTTTTCGATTTTTCGATTTTGCAATTTTGTGCGTTTCTAAATTTTTGAATTTTTAGAATTCTCAATTTCTTGTTTAATGGAGTTTTTTAGTTTTTCGATTTTTCGTCTTTCCAATTTCTCAATTTTTCGATTTTCAAATTTTCAATGTTTAAGTTCAAGGATTTTTTAATATGTATTTCGATTTTTAAATTTTTAGATTTTTGGACTTTTTGTTTTTTTGATTTTTTACTTATTCGATTTTTTAAAATTTTGCGATTTTTTAAACCTTTTCGATTTTTCAATTTTTTGATTTTTCGATTCGTTCATGTGTTGATTTCTCGATTATGTAAATATTCAATTTTTCCAATTTTTAAATTTTAGGTTTTTCACTTTGTTTTTTTCTAGTTTTCAATTTTTCGGAATTCATTTTTCAGTTTTTCGATATTCCGATTTTTCATTTTTTTTATTTATCGGGTGTTTTAAGTTTAAAGTTTCCAATTTTCAATTTTTCCATTTTTCGATCTTTGGCTATTTCGATATCTCAATTTTTCGACTTTTCAGCTTTTCGACTTCTCGATCTTTTGATGTTTCGATTTCGCGATTTTTGAATTTTTCAATTTAGATTTCTCGATTTCCCTTTTTTTTGAAAATTCATTTTTTAATTTTTGGCGTTTCTAAATTTTTGAATTTTTCGATTTCCCAATTTCTCGATAAATGGATTTGATTGATGATGAGAATGAGTTTTTCAATTTTCAAATTTTCAGTGTTTAAGTTTTGGAATTTTTTGATTTCTGGATTTTGTAATTTTTCAATTTTTCCAATTTTTGTATTTAAAATTTTTCAATTTTTTGTTGATTCGATTTCTCAGTCTTTTGATTTTTTGCCTTCTCATTTTTCCCTTTTTCGGATTTAATTTTCCAGTTTTTCGATATTCCGATTTTTAAATTTTTTGATTTATCGGGTTTTTTCAAGTTTAAATTTTTCAATTTTGAATTTTCCCATTTTTCGATCTTTAGCTATTTCGATATCTCAATTTTTCGATTTTTCGATTTTTCGGCTTTTCGACTTCTCGATCTATCGATGTTTCGATTCGCGATTTTTGAAATTTTCGATTTCTCGATTTCTCAGTTTTTCAACGTTTCAGTTTTGAGATTTATGTACATATTTGAATTTTCGATTTCTCAATTTCTTGATGAATGGATTTTTCGACTTTTCGTTTTTTCGTTTCCTCAATTTTTCAATTTTTCGATTTTGAAATTTTCAATGTTTAAGTTTAGGGACTTTTCAATTTTGGGATTTTTTAAGTGTATTTCGATTTCCAAATTTTTAGATTTTTCGACTTTCTGTTTTTTTGATTTTTTATTTATTCCATTTTTCAAAATGTTGGGATTTTTTAAATCTTACACTTTTCGATTTTTCGATATTTTGATTTTTCGATTCGTTGATGTTCCGATTTCTCGATTTTGTAAATTTTCAGTTTATCGAAATTTTTTAGATTTTAGATTTTTCACTTTTTTGTTGCTTCGATTTCTCAATCTTTCGATTTTTGCCTTCTCGTCTTTAGATTTTTCGATTTTTCAATTTTTCGGAATTAATTTATCAGTGTTTCGATTTTTCATTTTTTCGTTTATCGGTTTTTCTAAGTTAAAATTTTTCAATTTTGAATTTTCCCATTTTTCGATCTTTCGCTATTTCGATATTTCGACTTTTCGACTTCTTGATCCTTTACTGTTTCGATTTCGCAATTTTTGAATTTTTCGATTTCGATTTCCCGGTTTCCTAGTTTTTCGATAATTCATTTTTTTCGATTTTCCGATTTTCCAATTTTTCAACGTTTCAGTTCTGGGGTTTATGTATTTAAATTTTTCGACTTTTCAATTTTTGGGGTTTCCAAATTTTTGAATTTTTCCATTTCTCAATTTCTCGATTCATGGATTTTTTAATTTTTCGACTTCGATTTTTCGTTTTTCCGATTTCTCAATTTTTCAATTTTGAAATTTTCAATGTTTAAGTTTTGGAATTTTTTAATATGTATTTCGATTTGTACATTTTTAGATTTTTGTTTTTTTGATTTTTTAGTTACTCGATTTTTCAAAATTTTGCGATTTTTTAAATCTTACACTATTTGATTTTTCAATTTTTTAATTTTTTGATTTCCCGATTTGCCAAATTTTTAAATTTTAGATTTTTCACTTTTTTGTTGTTTGGATTTCTGTCTTTTGATTTTTTGCCTGCTCATTTTTCGATTTTTGAATTTTTCGGAATTAATTTTTGTTTTTCGATATTCCGATTTTTCAATTTTTTGATTTATCGGGTGTTTTAAGTTTAAATTTTTCAATTTTGAATTCTTCCATTTTTCGATCTTCAGCTATTTCGATATCTCAAATTTTCGATTTTTCGGCTTTTCGACTTCTCGATCTATTGATGTTTCGATTTCGCGATTTTTTAAATTTTCGATTTCGATTTCTCGATTTCTCAGTTTTTCGATAATTCATCTTTTCGAATTTTCGATTTTCCAATTTTTCAACTTTTCAGTTTTGGGATTTATGTACATATTTAAATTTTCGGTATTTCAATTTTTGGGGTTTCTAAATTTTTTGATTTTTCGATTTCTCAATGTTTTTGATTAATGGATTTTTCGACTTTTCGTTTTTTCGATTCCTCAATTTTTCAATTTTTCGATTTTGAAATTTTCAATGTTTGAGTTTAGAGACTTTTCAATTTTGAGATTTTTCAATTGTATTTCGATTTCCAAATTTTTAGATTTTGCGACTTTGTTTTTTTTTTTATTTTTAACTTATTCGATTTTTCGAAATGTTGGGATTTTTTAAATCTTACACTTTTCGATTTTTCAATTTTTTGATTTTTCGATTCGTTGATGTTCCGATTTCCCCATTTTGCAAATTTTCGATTTATCGATTTTTTTAGATTTTATATTTTTCACTTTTCTCTTGTTTCGATTTTTCAGTCTTTTGCATTTTTAGATTTTTTGTTTTCTCAATTTTTCGATTTATCGGGGTTTTTAAGTTTAAATTTTTCAATTTTGAATTTTCTCATTTTACGGTCTTGGCCATTCCTCAGTGTTTAGATTTTTCGATTTCTCGATTTTTTCGATTATTCGAGTTTCCAATTTTCGACATTTCAGTTTTGGGATTTTTTTCGATATTTAAATTTTTGGGGTTTCTAAATTTTTCGATTTTTCGATTTCTCTGTTTAAGTTTTGGGATTTTTCAAGATTTCCATTTTGAAATTTTAGATTTTTGGATGT